ATCTATCTTTACCTCCCTCATTCCTTCCTCCTTGTCTTCCTTCCTTCTTTCCCTCTGTCCTTCTTATATATCTTACTTCCACCCATCTATCTTCCTTCCCTCATTCCTTCCTCCTTGTCTTCCTTCCGTCCTTCCTTCCCTGCTTGTGTTTGTTGAATCACCTTTGAACCACAGCAAGTTTATGTTTCTGTTATGTTCACCCAAAGCATCTGAATTCATTCCTCTTTCCTTCCTTCTTTCCTTCCTTTCTTCTCTCCTTTTTTGCCTTTATTCCCTCACTCGTTCTTTTCCTTTGATCCACCCTTTTGTCCTTCTTTTCTTCCTTCCTTTCTTCTGTCCTTCCTATATACCTTCCTTCCCTCATTCCTTCCTACTTTCCTTCCTTTGAACCACCGCAATTTTTTTTGTTATGTTTGCTGAAAGCATCTGAATTCATTCCTTGTTTTTATGAATCTGTGACCGCTTTGGCTGGTTTCCGTGTGTGTGTGTCCTTGAGCTACTTCATGTCTCTGTGTCTTGGCATTGTCATTTTCAACATGATCCATGAAGGCAAACGAGGATAATGTTGGAGGTAAAAGGGGTTTGGGGCTTCGTGTTTAACCTTTTGCTTCTCCTTTCTTGAGCAGGGCCCCATCCAGCCTCTGTTTGAAAGCCTCCAAAGAATCCTCCACTACACTTTGAGGCAGAGAGTTCCAGTGCTGAAAAGCTCTTCCAGTCAGGAAGTTTTTCCTAATGTTGAGATGGAATGTCCTTTCCTGTAATTTGAACCCATTGCTGCAAGTAATCAGAAAGAGGAAAACAAGTGTCAGGTGTCCATATTAGAATTAAATGTGTATGACACTGTCAACATGGAGGAGAAAGCCTATACATGTATTAAATGTGGAAAGAGCTTTAGTCAGCATGGAAAGCTGAAGATACATCAAAGGACTCACACTGAGGAAAACCCCTATAAATGTCTAGAGTGTGGAAAGAGCTTCACTCGTAGTTCAGGTCTAAGATTGCATCAAAGGACTCACACTGGGGAGAAACCCTATAACTGCCTGGAGTGTGGGAAGAGCTTTGCTCACAATGGAGCCTTTCGTTCACATCAAAGGATTCACACTGGAGAAAAACCCTTTAAATGCCTGGAGTGTGGACAGAGCTTCTCTGAGGGAGGAAATCTACGTAGACATCAAAGAACTCACACTGGGGAGAAACCCTATACATGCCTGGAATGTGGACAAAGCTTTGTTCATAGTGCAAGTCTAATTTTACATGAAAGGATTCACACTGGGGAGAAACCCTACAAATGCTGGGAGTGTGGACAGAGCTTCACTCATAGTACAGACCTAAAAAGACATCAAAGGACGCACACTGGGGAGAAACCCTATAAATGCCTGGAGTGTGGACAAAGCTTCATTCGTAGTTCACGTCTACGATCACATCAAAGGACTCACACTGGGGAGAAACCCTATAAATGCCAGAAGTGTGGACAGAGCTTCACTGAAAGTGGAAGTCTAGGTGTCCATCAAAGGATTCACACTGGGGAGAAACCCTATAAATGTGTAGAGTATGGACAGAGCTTCACTTATAGATCACGTCTACATAAACATCAAAGGACTCACACTGAGGAGAAGCCCTATAAATGCCTGGAGTGTGGACAGAGCTTCACTCAGAGTGGAAGTCTACATAAACATCAAAGGACTCACACTGGGGAGAAGCCCTATAAATGCCTAGAGTGTGGACAGAGCTTCACTCGGAAGGGAAATCTACATTCACATCAAAAGATTCACACTGGGGAGAAACCCTATAAATGCCTAGAGTGTGGACAGAGCTTCACTCGGAAGGGAGATCTACATTCACATCAAAGGACTCACACTGGGGAGAAACCCTATAAATGCCTAGAGTGTGGACAGAGCTTCACTTATAGATCAGGTCTACATAGACATCAAAGGACTCACACTGGGGAGAAGCCCTATAAATGCCTGGAGTGTGGACAGAGCTTCATTCAGAGTGGAAATCTACGTGTCCATCAAAGGATTCACACTGGAGAGAAACCCTATAAATGCCTGGAGTGTGGACAGAGCTTCATTCAGAGTGGAAGTCTACGTTCACATCAAAGGACTCACACTGGGGAGTAACCCTACAAGTGTCTGGAGTAGTTGTTCTCAACCTGTGGGTCCCCGGATGTTTTGGCCTTCAACTCCCAGAAGTCCTTTCAGATGTAGGCCAAAACACCTGGGCACCCACAGGTTGAGAACCACTGGTCCTGAGTGTGGACAGAGCTTCTCACAGGGTTCATATTTACATTGACATAGAATTCACACTGGAGGGAGTGGTGATAATTGATATCAGAAAGTCTTTCTAACAAGTACAAAAACAACACTTGGATGTCAGAAATGCAAGCACAAAGTTGGGACATTTGATCAGATGTGGTGCATTGTAGAAATATTGAGCTAAAATGCATTCTATCATGGAAACAATTAAGGCTAAATGAAAGCATCGTTTTATTTGTTCAGAATGCTGGTAGAAAGAAAGAAACCGTGGATGGTTACTATGATGATATTCACTCGGAAGGGACGTCTACATTCACATCAAAGGACTCACACTGCGCGCAGAGAGGGAAGGGACGTCTTATTCCAACGGGAAAAGAATAGCTTTTGAAGATCCGCAAATTAGCAAACTGACAACATTGTGGGCAAATGTCAGCTGTAAGATGTATTAATTGGAAAAGTAGAAGTGTTATTATATTGCGTTATATAAGGGGAGAAGAATAATAAGAGATAAGGAGAGGGGATGAGGCTTGTGGAAGTGACTAATTGTTGGGAGGAGAAAGCCGCCTTGAGTCACTTTCGTGTTCGAGAAAGGCGAGATAGAAATATCGTAAATAGATACAATTGTTAGTTAGTTCTCTGTGTGTCTATGTCGGTGTCTGTTTCACTGCTGTTTCTTTCTAATTTAGTATTGGACTTTATGTATTAGTTCGTTTGCTGTGTAGTTCAAGCATTCTATACAATTTCTGCTTTTTTTGAATTGTTGTTTTTAATGTCATCTGGGATTTATAGTTCACCTACAATTAAAGAGCATTCTGAACGCCACCAACGATGAAATTGAATCAAACTTGGCACACAGAACTCCCATGACCATCTGGGAGTTCTGGAGGGGTTTGGTGGGCATCGACCTTGAGTTTGGGAGTTGTAGTTCACCTACATCCTGGCTAACGTGGTCCAAGTGTGGACTCCTTCTGTAACCATAAAGCATTGAATCAGTAAACGGCAACCGTTCAGCGGATACTGCCTGTTCAGTAAATAAACCTCTTTTCCTGTTTGAATAACAAAACGTCTCCGTGTGCCTCACACACATTCCGTGCATTACAGGAGGGAGCCTGTTGGAGTCAATTAAGTGGTGGCAGCACTCGTATATAAGCGTTACTAGAGACAAAGGGGCCAGCGCCCTCCCCGTTTTGGGACCCCTGTAATGGCGGGATCCCCCAAGCTGCCAGGTCAGTCTCCCCGTGTTCGTCATAGGCTCCCTTTTGTATTTTTAGGATCTCTGTATACGTTGACCGTTTCCTCTGCCCCATTCTCTTCTTTGGGCAGCTTCCAAGGGCGAGACCCATATTGGAGTTTTTTGGTGGAATTTCGATTTGTAGCTTTCCCATATCTTGAGTAGGGACGATCGTAGAAAATTATTTCCAGTTTTTTTCTATTTTCTTTTTCTTGTACCACGTGTACGCATACCTTCTCCTTCTTAGGTCGAATCCCTCTAGTGACAGATTCTTATTATTGCTTCAGTTGAACCCATCTTTTGTCCAAATGAGACCGCAAGCTTCATTGTACAATCTTTGTTGGGGAGTTCGAGGTCAGGTGCTCACCTCCATGGCCTCATTGCGCCCTAGTCTCCAGGGCAGCAGAAAGGAAACTTGCTCCCTCCTCCATATGACTTCCTCTCACATATGTAGACATGGCCCTCATCCTGTCTCCTCTCAGCCTTCTCTTCTTCAGGCTAAACAGGCCCAGCTTTTTAGGCCGCTCCTCATAGGGATTGTTCTCCAGACCCTTCATCCTTTGAGTCACCCTCCTCCGGACACATTCCAGCTTAGGGTCAACATCTCCCTTCAATTGTGGTGCCCAGAACTGGACACAATATTCCAGGTGTGGTCTTGTGATGAATGACTTTTCAATGACTTTGAAGCATAAGTTCTTTTTATTGCAATTTCCAGTGTGAGAAGGTATATCAGATCACAGAAAAACATTTAGACAAAGAATGACATTGGACATACAGACAGACAGATCCTATGCAACTACATTGGATTTACAATTACATTGGTTAACAAACAAACAAAGGGGAATTACATTTTCACTCACCATTCACGCACATGTACAAGGCAGAATAGAGCATGGGGAGCATGACTTCTCTGGATCTAGGCACTAGGCTCAATATTCACACACATGTGCACTCACTCATTCACATGCATCCAAATACTACCATATCCTTTTCTCCCTCCTTGGAGAAACACCTGTTAGGTAAGACTCTGTTTTCGTGCATCCTGCAAAATGCGTAGTTCCAAAACTTCCATAACGGCAAAAATTCAAACCGTTTAAGTGCCAAAACCTCTTCCCTAAGAACAGTGCCAAGGACCAGATCTCTGTTTTCCATACAGCAGAATCCGAGTCCCTGCACATAATCCAAGACTCCAAAAGCGCACTTCTTCCTCCTCTTCCCTTGAGAAAGAAGCCCCAAAGGGACCAGATTGCCCCCGTGAAGATCTGCCACTCTCCGAATACACCACCTCTCTCCTTCCCGTGGAGCAGAGCATGGCGGGTGAACCAGACTCCTCAGGTCGGTCACACTTTGAGCATTATTAGACTTTTATAGGAATATTCTGCTGATGCCGTCCCAAAGTTGTAAATGAATGATAGACGTCTTCCATCCTGGATCCACCTCAGTTTCCTGGCCATATGTTGACTTCTTGATTGGTGTTGACAAACACAAGGCTTGTGTTGACTTCCTTCTTAACATAAGGAATGTTGCAAACATTTCCTTTATCACTCCTCTCCCAGTTCTTATCACAGCTTCTCGTGAGCAAATCTAGCACGCAGGGAGTTAGTCCTTGCCGGCCTTAATATTATACTGGTGTTTCCAACATTATTAACTCCAGCCACACATCCTTCCATTCTTCCATTCATTCCCACACATCATATTAAATTCATATTTGTCAAATCTGCACATTGAATTTCTTATTACATATTCCCCCTCTTGCATATGGATTTCATTTTTAAATCTATATGCAACATATAGTAAAGTAACTTCTAAATTTCAGTTGTACAAATCTCAGTTTCTTTAAACCAGAAATACATTTTCACAATTACAATTATAAGTAACCATATCATCATCATTACAATTGAATGAAAGCTGAAGTACTTTGGCCACATCATGCAGAGCGAAGGACTAAGGCTGGAAAAAGGGTTTTTTTGGAAGAGACGGAGCTGGAGAAGGTTTAAGACCAGAACCTTCTGGGGGGTGGGTTTTGGCTGTTGGTCAAAATCTGAGGCATCAACACTCCCAAAAAAGCTTAGTCCTGAAGCCAAAAGGAGACTATCTCTGGAGAACAGGTCGGAGAGTGCTCCCCCCCCCCCCCCGGTCAAGGGAAGGTAGGAGCCTTGAGACATTTCTCACTAAAGACATGACACATTCTCCTGAGGAGCGTCTAGTGAGACGCCTTGGTGAAGCAACATTTACACCTGCTCCGCGACTGCTTGAAGGCCTTGCTCAAGGTCTGCCCTGACGTCCTCTAGTTCATCCCTCCACCCAAAATACTGGCCAGGTGCTCTGGCCTTTACACCTGCTCCTCACCACGCTGAGGGCTCCATCTATGACCACTTGTCAATTGGCCATGCCCCATCTTTTTTCAGATGGCCAGTTGAACACTGGGCACTTAGTTTGTGCTGCAGAGCTCCCAAGAGAAGTAGGTCTGTGTATGGGGATTCCTATGATCTCTGGGAGGGGGAGGTACGACAGTAGGCGCAGGCCGAATACTAGAGGGAGGCTGAGTCGGCGGGAGACTCGGCCCCCCTCTGACCTGCGGCCTATCCCCAGGCACACCTGTGACAGGCGACCAGTTTCCTCCCCTCCTACTCTGGTGTTGGTGAATGCTAGGTCCATAAGGAACAAAACTGCTACTATCAGGGATTTTCTTAATGATCAGGGAGCTGACCTAGTGTGTATCACAGAAACTTGGATCCAAGAGGGGGATGAGATCCTACTCCAGGAAATAACATCTCCAGGTTATGTAATCACTCACCAGATGCAGACTGGGAGGCGCGGGGGCGGGGTGGCTATGCTCTCCCAAGAAAGCTTCTCTCTTAGGGCAGTTCCTGTGCTGAACATTTCTGGCATTGAAAGTGTTGGCCTGGTGTGGGATTCCTCTGAGAGTATGGCCTTTTTGCTGGTGTACCGTGCGCCTAGCGCACCAGCAGACAGCCTATCCCAGCTGCTGGAGACTGTGTCGGAGTGGTCCTTGAGGTTCCCCAGACTTATCGTCTTGGGGGATTTCAACATCCACGCTGATGCAGACTCTTGTTCATTATCGGCTATGGACCTAGTGTCTACCATGGAGACACTAGGACTCTCACTTTGTAGTACTGGGCCCACGCATCAGGCGGGACACACGCTAGATCTGATTTTCAGCGCAGGAATTCAAGTGACCCAAGCCTCCACGATAGAGGTTCCATGGTCGGATCACTGCACCCTGAGAGTCTGGTTGGAGCATACCTACCCATCCTGCAAGGGCGCTGAGCTGATTTGGGCTTGCCCAAGGAGACTTATAAAACCCAGTAGGTTCCGGAATGCTCTGAGGGATCTGGAGCCTGCCAGCAACTCAATCGATGTGCAGGTGGACACATGGAACACCAGGCTGACGGCGAGCGCAGCTGGTAGCCCCGCCTTTACATTAGTTTGAACTGCAGCAGGGAGTTCCGCAGTTCCTNGACGGCGAGCGCAGCTGGTAGCCCCGCCTTTACATTAGTATGAACTGCAGCAGGGAGTTCCGCAGTTCCTGGGCCAAGCTTTTGAGGCCAGCAGATGAAATGCGCCCCGGCCGCTAGCTCCAAGACCAGGAATGCCTGCAACTTCAGCTAACTTCCCCTCTCCCTTTACTTTGTATCTTTCCCTAATAAAGTGCTTGAAATTTGAAACTTTCTATCTCCCTGCATGTTACTTTTGTATCCCTTCTTGGCTCAAAACTCCGAAAACACCTCCAGGCGCCCTCCGGACCCCGAATCTGCGTTCGATCAGATTGCGGATACTGGAACCGCCATTACAAACCTCGCTATCCACAAAAACACTTAACATGGCGGATCGCCGCCGTCCCAATTCCATATTTCTCTAGGACTAATTCTAAGCCCAACTGCTGTCTTCTTTTCCTTGTCTTGGGCTGCTCCACCCGAGGAAAAATTAGTTTTGTTTTGAGTATTTCTATCTTGCAGAGAAACAGCTGATTGTCAGTTGGCCGGATTTTCC